AGTATTTATAGGTGTTCATTGATCGATTTTTGTCATTCAACAATTGTCTCCGAACGCGTAAAGTACGATTTTTTTTAAGTGACGAAAAAGTAATAAAAGTATAAAACCGAAATGAGTGCAAATTGTCCAGAAAATATCAATTTATTTTGTTACGTTTGTAGCAAAAGAGCTTTTTCAACAAATACTGCATTACTCACTGAGCAAGTGGAGCGCGCTTTTAAACTTTATTTTGATTCCGAAATAATTCGCGGCGTTTCGTGGGCCCCGACAAAATTTGTAAAATGTGTTACAATGGTCTTAACAGGTGGATCCAAGGGAAACGCAGTTCACTTCGTTTTGGTGTACCAATGATTTGGACTGATCCAGGAGAGCACAATTCCGACAACTATCACGCTTGCGCAAACAAAATATGTGGAGTAAATCGTAAAGGCCTTAAACGAAGAGTTTACATATCTGTTAAAAGTGCACAAATACCTCTAACGCATTCGGATGAAATACCATTCCACCGCTTCCAAGTCCTGACAGAGAAACTTCTTTTTCTATTGAAACAATGGATCAATCGGATTTCACCTATAAACCAACACCAGAAGCCGGCCCATCGAACAAAATAATTCCAATATCACAAGCAAGAATGGACAAGATTGTTGCAGAATTAAACCTTTCTCAACGTGAAGCAGAAAAACTTGCCCAGCTTTTGAAAGAAGGCAACAATTTGGAGCCTAATGTCAAAGTCACCGGATATCGAAGGCGACAATTGCTATTCCAACGGTACTACACACTCAACGAAGGGAACACATTTGTTTACTGCCATGATATAAAGGGACTGATGGAGGCGATGGCCATTAATTATATCGCAGCTGATTGGCGAATGTTCATCGATTCTTCGAAATCAAGCCTGAAAGTTGTTTTGCTACATAAATATAATAAAAAAACCAAGTATTCCCATTGGCTACAGCACAGACATGAGCGAAACATACGATTCCATGAAAATAATTTTGGATAAAGTTTGCTACACTGATCACATGTGGCGGATTAGTTGTGATCTGAAAGTCGTGGCGATGCTAAGAGGTCTCCAAGGAGGCTATACAAAAAACATGTGTTTCTTGTGTCTTTGGGATACCCGATTTAAAGGAAACCAATACGAAACGCATGACTGGCTTGCTCGAGATCCAACGGAGAAAGGACACAACTGCGTAAATGATCCACTAGTGCCAATGGAGAACATCCTCATGCCCCCTCTCCATATCAAACTGGGAATCGTAAAAAATTTCATCAAGGCCACCGTGAAGCAACCGAAAATTCTTGATTGTTTGAAAAATATTTTCCCACCAATCAGCGAAGCAAAATTGAAGGAAGGTGTTCTGAATGGGCCGGATATACGAAACCTCATGAAATCAAAGGAATTTAAAGGTGCTTTAGACGGTAATGATTACTTTGCGTGGAAGGCAGTGAAGAAAGTCATACGATATTTTTTGGGAAGTACGCGAGCACACAATTACCCCGCTCTTGTGACCAAGATGTTGCACTACTTCCAGAAAATTGGAGTGAATATGTCCCTCAAAATTCACTTCTTGCATCACCATCTCGAATACTTCAGCAAGCAGCTAGCCTCAGAGTCGGATGAACATGGCGAGCGCTTCCATCAAGTGGCAATGCCAATGGAAACGCGATATAAAGGCAAAAGGCTCGATTCGCTGGTGGCTGAAATTTGTTGGTGGTCGCAAAAGACGTACGATCCCGACAATGAAGATGAAGAAGAAGAATATACAATGGGAGTTTCCTCCGAGGGTAAGTCACAAAAATGAAGTTAACTGACTGATTAAAAGCAATTGATTTTTTCCAGATGAAGACAGATCCTCATCCGATACAGACTCTGAACAAGTGGGCGAACCACCACGCAAGAAAGTAAAGGGCGCAAACAAACGAAAATAAGTTTTGCGTTCATCGATTTTTATAACCTATGTATCTATGTAATAACCTAATAATTACCTGTAATAATTTTTAATTTTACGTGTTAATAATAAATATTATCCAAATTCATTGAAACATAAAATCAATATTCTTGTCAAAATGAGATACCTTCACTTAATTGTGAATAAAAGCGAAACGCGTCCATCGATTTTCATGATCTATGTCTCATTTTGCTTAAAGGATATGTGACTTTGCGTGAAAGTAATACGACTTGCCTTTTTTCCGTTTTGGATTTTTTATGAATTTAAAAAATAAAAAAATTTAATATTTTAGGCAAAAAATATTTTTTTTCTTCATACATTTATTTTTACCGGCAAAACTGTTGATTATATAGAAAAACGTTATATGAACAGATTAAAGGAATTGTAATTTTTAATTTTTTTAAATTTGCTGGAGCAAAATCGGACTAGTGGTTCTCGAGTTATGTCAAAAAAAAGACCACAAAAGGTGACAATTTCCCCTATATGATAGTTACTAACTTCAAATCGATATATCTCGATTCATAGACGTGACCCAGCGAAACGCCGGGACACGTATAACTTTTTTTTTACCGATATAACTTTCCCCGGTAGTTTGAACCCTTCCCGATCACTGACTCCTACCATTTGTCTCACAGTGTAATTTATTTTATAGGGAAATTTCAGTTCAATTCTGTTTATTGGATAAATTTTCTTTACAAAAATACCAAACAAGTTTGCATTGCAGACAGAAATTTTTCCCTTAACAAAGGCAGAAAATGTTGCATGTTTGTCGGGCGAGAGGGCGACGTGTTGTAAAAGGAACAAACAAACCAACCAGAGAAAATGCTGAGAAACGAACAGGCTATAAAATATATAACTCACAATAAAGTTAAGTTGATCAAAAGAAAATTAAGGTAGTCGTCGATTAATAAGCAAATATATAACATCATAAAGATTAGGGACCGTTTTAAGTTTGGCAATGCTATTCAGTTTGAAAGTTAAAAAAAACCTATGGCGGCCGTGGCCGAGGGATTGGAGGTGCGCGCGAACACCCGCAAAGGGTCTCCCCCAGAACATAATGACAATCCGACGAATATATTTCTGCTTAGAAAAACAAAAAAAAAACATGTCGTTCGGAAGAAGCATATAACTACAGGTCACATCAAAAATTTTAGCAGAAGGACTGTCAAATCCTTATCCACATGACATTTCGCAATGAACTTATCGAGCGATAAGCTCATCATTCTGCATTGCAGCTGTGCCAAATTTAGTAAAATCATAAATTAACCGTTTTTATTGGTTTCCTATATTTTCAACGAAAATTAGTTGCTTAGGTTAACCCAGCTAAAACTCAGCTAGTCCTTTTTACCAGGCGATGCAAAGTACCGGGTCTTGCACCGTGGGGCTTCTCACCTAAGATGGTTCACTGGATCTACACTGCCACTGTTCACCCGATTCTGTTTACGGAGCCTTAGTATGGTGGCCTTCCGTTGATAAGACATCAGGGCTCAAGCAACATCAAACGGTACAAAGGAGTGCTGAGCTATGCATAAGTGGAGCTCTTTGTTCCTCCCCGACCGAAGCTCTTAACGCAGTCCTACATCTGCGCCGCTTGATTTAGTAGCTCGGGAAACAGCCATTATTGCAGCCTTAAGACTTAGATAGGCAGGCTCCTGGACTTATGGTCCATCAGGCAATTCGATAATCCTAGGGACGGACAAGGGCGCCCATACTGATACCTGCAAGTACTGACTACTGCATACCATCAAATACCTTCACAAAAAAACTATATAATTACCATACCATCTCGAAAGGTCTGAGACACGAGGCCTCACCATATACACAACGCTATAAACATGTACATTGAAGGCTACAAACTCGACGGAAAGGTCGGGGGAGCAGTCTTCTCCCCAGAGCTGGAACTGAAAACATATTGTCGCCTTCCCGACCACTGCAGTGTATACCAGGCGGAGGTGCTGGCTATCCGGAAGGCCTCTCGGCACCTAGCAAGAACACCCGAAGAGAAAAGACAGGTATTTATCTTCTCTGACAGTCAAGCAGCCCTGAAAGCTCTAGACTCATGCGTAGACTAGACACAATGTCTCTCACTTAATTCAGCAGATCTCTAAAGCACAGCATTATAGAATACAACTCATATGGGCCCCTGGACACTGAGATATTGAGGGCATGTGCAAAGCTGGCGAACTGGCGAGGAATGGTAAGACCACACCCCCATCCTTCCGGGGAAGAACAAGGTAGGCATACCATTACACTACATGCGAGGAACAGAACCATACAAGCAGCAAACGAACGCTGGAGAATTCTCTCCTTCTGTGGAACGGCCAAGCATACATGGCCTTCCTACGATAAAAAACGCACGACTGCACTCTTAGGGTTAAAACTTACCAAGATATCTATTCTCACAAGAATTCTTATAGGTCGCTGTCTAAAAGGTACACATGCCTCACAAGCCTCACAATTGGGAGTGAACGCGCCAGCCTACTGTCGCAGCCACCTTATATGCGAGTGTCCAGCAGTCAGCAGAAGACGGCTTGAGACGCTCGGAAAGCCCTCTCTATAAGGCCTCGCAGAGGTATCGAAAATCAATATTAGAACACTATCGAAATTTAACACGTTAACGAACTGGTTTGATCCCGAGTAAGCGCCGCAACATCATAGGAGAACAAAGATTGCATATGGTATCGTAATGGGCCTTTCCTGGCCTAAGTGTAAGGAGAAGTCACTCTCTCTAGCCATCTCAACCTAACTTAACCTAGTTGCTATTTTATAATTTTAAATTTCCGTCACAAAAGCTGCAGCCTATTGTAACCATTAAATTATTATGAAAAAATATTCAAAAGGGAAAAAATATTATGGTGTCCGCAAAAATCTACATAACGATTGTGTTTTGTCTTTGGCTCTTGGTTAACGAATTTTTAAAATATAACCGATTCATCGATCGGTTTTTTAGATATGCATGCTTGGTGGAGTTTTTTGGACTCAACAACCCATTTTTATTGGGAACTAGATAGTTTAAGCGGTAAACAAAATAAACATTTACAAGCTTACCTTCAGCGTTGGCGCGTTTTTCAAATTCATCAAATAAACGGTTAACATCGTCCATTTCTCGCCTTAGACGTCTTAGCTGCGGGTCGTTCGAATCCCCTTCACTGAGCAGCTTTTCAGCATCCTCATTTAAGGCGCGGCGTATAGCGGACCGCTGGTCTGAGCCCATAGCCAAAAATTGATCGAAGTCCCAGCTTTTTACAACACGGATAGTAGCAAAAATCATATTTTGACGAAGTCTCAAATGTTTCTTTTGCCATAAACTAACTGTGCGATCAAACAAGCGTTTTAGTCGCTCTGCAGAATCAACCGCTTCTTGGTCAGGTGGGGTTATAAGTAAACAAGCACTAGGAATAGAGCCTTCCTGACCAGTGGATGACCGTATTCGCCATTTAACACGGCCAGAATTATCCAAAAGTGAACATTTTTCTCCCTTCTCTACTTGGATGTGTCCTTGTTGCTTATACCCACAAATAGGCTGAACTGTGTACGGAGAGCTTACAGGTTGCCGTCGTTTACTTAGAGGTACAATTGCTAAAGCACGCTGTTGGATATTTAGAACAGTTTCTCCGAATGTATTTAACTCTTCTCGCAAATCCTGCATCCCGCGTAGCAAGTTTTCACCTTGATCCAATGAAAAGTCAGACTGGGAATATTTACTATTGAGAATCTCGTCACGTTTATTAAGCCATTGTTCAGCGTCCTTAATTTCGGAAAAGAATTGATGGTACTCAGTAGCATGTTTAAGATGAACCTCTAAGCATAGAGTTAGCTGCAAAAGCCATGCCCATTGTTGTTGCAGAACAGTTAAGTGTGCCTCAATGCATTTGGCAGCAGGGTGTTGTTGGTTCAGTAAAGCTTCACCTCGATCAAGTATAGTAGCGAAATGAACTTCTCGTCTTTCCAACTCCGTCATTAAGTTCTGGAAATTGCAAATATAAATAGTTAATTCCATGATAAAAAAATATTTAGGCAGAACCCATAGCAGAGTTTTTTATTATTCACGATCCGGTGCATACTGTCTAGCATGGTGCATAGAAAGCATAAACAGCATGATTGGCTAATGTTGTTGTTGTTTGAACACATGAAACAACAACAAAATTATCCAATCGTGCTATTTATGCTATCTATGCACCGTATGCAACGGGTTGTGAATACCCCTATTGCAAATAACAACAACTTATTGACTCGAAGATGCTTCAGCAATCATATAATACAATGCTTGTTTTTTTAGATTATTCCAAAGCATTTGTTATTGCACCTCACACCTGGCCCTATATATTCTCAATCTGTACGAAATTCACCCAACTTATAATCCGATTTCTAACCCGTTTTCAACCATACTAAGCAACAGTGACATATTTTGCAAAATCAAGAAAGATAAATATATATCTTCTTTTTGGTTGTTTGTGTTTCCGACAGGGTAGGAGTATGATATATTGTGGAACGATTTTCCGTCACCCTTGTCAAATTTGGTTTAGAGACAAAATCGTTCCACAATACATCAGAAATATATACAAATATTTAGAAAGATGCAATAATAAATAAAAAATCGCATTTTTATTAAGAACAATCAGTATGCCCTATTTAAAGACAACTCAATCAAATATTTATAACAAACCTGAATGGAAAAATCTGACCAAAGCCAAGCGTTTTAGCTGTCCGGTGCTTCTTCTACAGCGCTGGTGTATACTCACCGTGTCAAACACTTTAACAATAAATTTATATTTTTGGGGCTCTCACAAATCGTTCTTTATTTCGCTATTTGGTGTAGGCCCAGGAAACGGGCTGTTTCAGTAGGGTCGGACCAAAGGGAGAGGGAGGTCAGCTGAGTAGGATTGAGCTGGCATGTGAAGAGGTCGTTGGTGTCGTGCGGAGAGTCTCGACATGCCGGGCACTCTTTGGGTATATTGGGGTCGAGTCTGAACACGTCGCTGTTGGGCGGCTACTGTATCCAGACCGTAACTGAGCCAGGGTAACACGGGTCTCTCTTGGCAGTTGAAGCTCCGTCACTGCGACAGGTGGTGATTGGGCTCCCAACACGGCATTCATAGGCCGCGAGTCTTGGTAGGCGGTGACCGAGCCCCTATGAATTGCGTTCGTCGCTCGTCGCTCGTCGCTACGTCGTCAGGTCCAGTGGTTGATCTATGTTTGCCTGGACCGCGTCCTTGTATACGAATAGGTGTCCCCTGACGTGCCTGGGCGGAGGCCCTCCTCTAGCAAAGGTCTGTTGGGGTGTTCACTTCTGTGGCACCATAAACCGCTTACAGAGAATTTTCTTGTGCTCGTTTACGGGGAGCACTTAGGTCTCACTGTGTAAGTGGCGCTCAGCCGACATCAGAAGGCACCCTGTCGCTGTTCGGAGTGTGGCGTTCTAACAAGTCTGTAGCTTCGTCCACTGCATCCAACTAGTCTCCGGCGACCAAACTGCTGCTGCATAGTTTAAGACCGGCCGACATATTGCCTTGTATGTTGCCAGCAATTTTTCGTTGTCTTTGCCCCAGGTGCTGGCGGCTATCGACCTGAGGACCTTGTTGCGGCTCTCTACTCTGTTCACAACTGCGGTGGTGCGCGTTGAGAAGGAGAGCAGGCTACCAAAGGTGACCACTAAAATGTTCGGGTTGTTTACTGTCGGTATGGTGTGCCATCGACGTGTCTGCCTAATTCTAGCCTGACCTCCTTCGTCCAGGCTCCTCGCAGTGAAGAAGCGAGAAAATTTGTAGAGATAGCCGTTTACTTTTGAGCAGCGGTCGTCAATTCCACTCCCAGACGCTAATATCGAGCAGTCGTCAGCGTATGAGATCACGGAAACTCCATCAGGTGGGTGGGAGAACATCGAGATGTAGAAATTAAACAGTAAGGGGGAGAGAACACCATTTGTGGAACCCATTGTTTTATGCTTCTAGAATTATAGGCCTCAATGCTCTGGAGTCCGTTGCAGATCAGCTGTAAGAGTTTCGTATGCCTTGAGAGGCTGGGCGCGATACGAGGGGTGAGGGACGTGTGAGGTCTACCTTGCGCCTTTTGCGCCCGACCCAGTGCTGCCTGGTGGTGAGTGGCTGTTGTTTGAGTCGGCAGTGCTGTGCAACTGTAGGTGTTGTCCACTCGCATGTGGGGCGTAGGCCAGAGCATACACGGAAGTGGCACCTTGGGTGCTAGTTCGCACATGCGCGTTGCGCCAGCAGGTAGCCGTGGAGGCCGGTGGTGCCGTTTTGCTTGAGAAACAGGGGCCACAAAGCTTGTGGTCGACTGCCTGTGGGACTTAAGCCCAGAACAGGTTCTTAGGTGACTCTATCAGTTGCAGGAATTGCAGCTAACCGAATTGGAGTTCGGATGGAGAAATCTGGCTGCAAAGTATTGCTTCATAGGCGCGAAATGATTGAAGGGTATCGCCGATCTAAATGGGATTAGGTCGCCGAAATAACCAAGTCTGGTAAAACCTGAGTCATTCCGGTACGTAGAACCGACTGTCGTGGGAATGCCGGCGTCTGCTACGGTTGGCGTTGGAGTACCTCTACCGGCGATCTGCTGCGACTTGCGCTGGTGTATCTCTGTGGACGCTCTGCTATTGTTTGCGTTGGCGTATCTCTGTCGGCGCTCTGCTATGGTTTGCATCAGAATACCTCTTCCGGTGATCTGCCGCGAGTTGCGTCGGCGTCTCTCTACCACGGATGAACGACAAACGATCGAGTGTCGCCCGTACGCGGATTCATGGAGGTTATGGCAGCTACGTTTACCCGAAAGACTGGGAACTCGACCTCCCGCGTACGTTGTATATGGCGCGACCTTCACCCACCGGCCCGTTAGATCACGGTTGTCTACTTCTGAGCAGGCAAGCCTTTTATGGTCAACCGCTACATGCCTAGTCCTACATATTCAGTAGCAGTGTCTAGTCAGCTTTTTTTCCGAATATGCGAGTCTTGCATGGTACAACCGCTAAAAGCCCAGTCCTATTCGGCAGTAGTATGCTGACTGCCTGCCGTGCTGTTGTGTCGCTTCTCTACTGCGCCGTGGGTGTGATGTTGCATGATCGTGCAGCTACATGTTACTTTCTGATGGTGCGTTGCCATGGCGACGGTGTGGCTATACACTGCTGCTGCATTAGTTGTGTTGGTGTTGTTACGGCATGCGGCATGCCGTAGGTCGCAGTATGTTAGCATAGGATAGGAGCAGTGATCGGACTTAAACAAAATTCTGTGTGGTAGAATCTGGAAAAAAATGTGGTAGATTTCAAAAAAATGTGGTAGATCTCAGGTTGTGGATCAAAATTTGCACAAAAATTAAAGAAATTCTGTAAGGTTTCACCTAAATTGCAAACTTTTTAATTAGACTCTAAAAAAAAATTAATTTTAATACAACAAAGTGCTAGATTGAAGTTGCTAAAGATTGCATTGAGTTTTGGCAATTTTTTCCATGACAGTGTAAAGCGGTTCCTTCCATATCAAAATATTTTTCAAACATAAATTTCTTTTCAACCTTGCGGAGTGCTGTCAGCGTTTCATTCTATCACATCGCGATGTAGCGAACAAATGTGGCACGTTACAGAAGCAGCTACTTGGGATTTGCCGATTTTAACAATTCTCACGTAAATGTAAACAACGCCTCAGAATCTTTTGATGCACTGAAATTTGCTAATACTTTCAGAAAAATCGCAGTTTTCTCAATTTTCGCTATTAATTCCTTTTATAAATCATATATTTTAAAATTTAACATAATGAATCCACGTTTTATTATTTTATTAAGTTATTATTGTTAAGTTATTATTGAGAAAATTTACTATTTTACAGTTTATTTTATGCTCCCATTTGGCTTTGTTTACTTTTACTTGAGATATTTCACCGCCGCCGGGAATGCGGAATCATGTATTATATCATTCTTGTTACCATATAGTGTTTAGTGTTGGACAAATTTTGCTTACACAAACAGGTTTCGAGCAAAATATTGACTTCGCGTTATTAAATGCACCTTATAAAAATACCTAGCGTGGATAAATAATACAATAGGAAAGTGCGCGACCTGCAGCTGCAACACCACCCCGCAGCACCTTGTAGTAACCCTGCAGTGAGAACCCAAACCAGTTAGAAAAAATACTAGTTCATAAACTAGTATGTGCCTACCAGTTCGACATTTTCGAAGAACTTAAGCGTTCAGCGACATCTGCCTTTGAATTGCCAAAGCCTAAAATAAAACGCAATTAATTGCTTTTCTTACAAATGTCGGCTGTGGCGTCACGTGAAGACTACTGGTTCTGGTTTTGAAATCGCAGGTTCGAGACCGCTTGGAGGTGGTTAAGATTTTTAAAGTTAGATCAATGTAAGTAGGAATAATTATTTCAATTTAAATATAAAAAACAAATTTAAAAATCTAGTTGCATTACAAAAAAAAAAAGAAATAAATATATGGGAAGAAGTACTTGTGCCATACAAAAATAGATAAACAAATTTTTTTTATTAAATCTAAGAATAACAACAAAAAGCCCTAAATAAAAAATATAAATAAAAGAAATATTATAAAAATAAAAATAAAATAAAAAAAAATTTTCCCTGCACCAGGGCTTGAACCTGGTACCTCAGGCATATCACGCGAGTGCTTTGCTCTGTCGGCCGCCGCCGATGTCTGATGGAGCGCCGCGAGCAAAAAGGCGTACTAATGCTTTTCATAGGGGATGAATTGGCAGACTATCTCATCAACTGGTATGATGCTACTAGTATTTCTACTATTAGATGCTGATGCATAGCCTGACAATTGACATCTCGTAGGACATCGCAATGTTAAAAATACCAGTCGCTAACATTGAAAAAGGATAGAACGTGGACTAGTTGGGCTGAAACGCAAACTGGTAGAATTCTAGTTCACAACTAGTAGCTTTCCCTGCAGGGAACTTCCTCCACAAGCGGGTTGATATGCACTAGAATAAACAAG